GGGAAGGGCAGAGGGAGAAGCAGGCTCCCCGCCGAGCAGGGAGCCCGACGCAATGCGGGACTGGATCCTGGGACCCTGGGATCATGACCTGAGCCGAAGGCAGACGCTTAACGACTGAGCCACCCAGGCGCCCTCCAGGGTCATTTTCAACTTAAAATGTCCTGAAGGTGTTTGGCCAATTGCAGGTGACCGTTTCCCACCATTCCCCACATGTGCCGCACACCTGCTCTGAGGCCCCAGGCTTTCATGCAGAGTACCCCCCACTCTTGGCCACGCCCCTAAATTGTACAGGCCTGAAACTCCCAGGGGTTGAAGAGAAGGGAGCCTGGACAGACCCCAGGGGCGGGCAGGCTCCCCGGAGATGCTCCCTTCCTTCTGCAGTGCGTCCGTGTGCCTCTGAGGCCCTGGGCATCTTGTCTCAGCTGAAGTGTGAGCATCTGTAGGCAGGAGGGGCTCTCATCCTTACGTAAAGACCTTGCTGAGGTGGAAACTGGAAATATAAAGAGTAGAGAGATAAGTAAATGAAGCTCCGTGGAGACATCACCCAGCTTCGGTGGCAGCCTTAGCCCCCTCACCCTGGAGGGGCTCCATGGAGGGGTGTGGGAGTGGGAACCAGGAGGTGCTCTGGGGTGTGTGGGTGGGGTGCTGCTCCAGGGAGGGGAGGGGTGCTCTAAGTCAGGGAGGGGTGCTCCCAGGTGGGGGGGCTGCTTAAGGGCAGAGTGTGCTGGTGGGTGCAGGTGGGAGAGACCTCGAGGCCTTGACTGCCTTTGTGGGGGGTCAGTGTACCTGTTTACCCACCGCCTGCGAGGCTGATGGGTTGGTGAGGAGCCTCACGGCTTCAAAGGTCACGGCACTGGTTTGTGCGGGACTCGGCCTACAGCTGAACTTCCCCCATGCGCAGGAGAAGCTCGTAAGGACCGGTTGGTGACAGAGGTATGTAGCTCGTCTCTGTTGTTCCTGTGAGCGTGGGTCCGAGCCGAGCCTGTGGGTCCTGGCTACGGTCGGGCGCCGGGCCGTCTGGGCAGGTGGGCTGCCTCCTTGGCCTGAGGGGGACTTTGGGTCCCTGTGTGGTGGTTCCCTGCCCAGGCCGTGCGTTGGCATCTCGCTTTCTCCGGTTTGTATTCCTTTGGGGTGGCTGGAAGCAGTGAGCCTGCACCTGTCTGCGAGCAGGTGCGTGGTGACCACGGCAGGTGAGGGGCTCCCTGGCGGGGTCCCAGGGAAGGGACACCAGGCCCGCTTCTGGGCCCCCTGGCTCACGCTCTGTAGGTTTACTTTGGGGGGAGGATTAGCCTCCCTCGTGCGCCCCCCGGGCAGGGAGGCCCTGGCGGGGGGAAGGGCACGCGGAGCGCAGGTGTGGACGCAGGCAGCGGCTGGGCTCTCGGCCGCGGTGCCTGCTCCGGGCTCCTGGAGCGAGGGGACCTGCCGGAGCCAGGGGCTGGGGTGGCGCTACGTTGCTGTCTTCTGGGGGATCCTCCCCCGTGCCGCCTCCCCTGAGCCGCGAGATGCCTCGCCTGGAGAGCGCGCCCTTGCCCTTGGGAGCGGGAGAGCGGTGGAGGGCCGCCCCCGCTCCGCGCGCCCGAGGCGGCTCCGGCCCCTCCCCCAGCCCCAGCGGCGTTCCCGGTGCCGTCCTCCCGGCCGCGCGCGCAGCCCCTTTGCATGGGGACCGTGGTGGTGGCTCGGCCGCGTTGGCTGGTGCGCCGTGGGGCCCACGGAGCCTTCGTGAATAACGACCTCCAACCCTTGCCGTTTCTGCCTGCAGCCTGGAATTGTGTCTCCGTTTAAACGAGTATTCCTAAAAGGTGAAAAGAGTAGAGATAAGAAAGCGCACGAGAAGGTGACAGAGCGGCGCCCTCTGCACACTGTGGCGCTGTCCCTGCCGGAACGCGTGGAGCCCGACAGACTGCTGAGCGACTACATCGAGAAGGAGGTGAAGGTAAGTCCGGCCGCCCGATGCGCCGCCCGCCCGCGCGCCTGTCTGCTGGGGCGGGTGACCGCTCACGCTCCGCGCGCCTGTCTGCTGGCCCCATTTCCAGCCCTTTCCGTGGGAGCGGCCGCCTCCTTTCTCTCGAGGGCGGGCGCGTGTTGTGTTCCGCGTGTTGTGGTCACGGCCGAGGGCGCGGGTCTCCCAAACCCTGTCCAGTCCTGTGCGCAGGCACCTGCGGGTAAGCGTGGCGCACGCGGCCCCCCACGCGGCCCCTGGTGAAGATGAGCCAGGGCGAGGGGCTGCGGCCTCGAGGTCGGGGGTCCGTCAGGAGCGTGGTGCCTGCGCTTGGAGGGGGCGCCGGGGAAGGTGGGGGAGCGGAGTTCACGGAGCCAGCCGGGACCGAGGGCTCTCAGAGGGTGCGGTGGTCCAGCCCGACCCCCGGCCGGGGAGGGTGTGGGGTGGTTGGTGTCCTTGGAGGGGTTTCTGCTCTCGCCTGGCCATCAGGTGACAGGGGAGGTGGGTGGTGTCCCTGGCAGAGACGGGGGACTGGGGAGGCTCAGGCATGGGGACACTTGGCACAGAGGAGGGTTGGAGCGACCCCAAGTGAAGACCACATGAAGCCCGTGTACGGAGTGGAGAGTCCCCGCCCCTCTCCCTGCCAGCCTCCAGAACGTTCGCCTGCCCACACGCGGGTCCCCAGGGTGCCTTCAGGGGGAAGCCGGGGTTACCGCCCCTCAGCCTGAGCGCAGCTGCGGCCGGTGACACTGCCCGTATGCATGGCTTCTGTCGGGGGCAGCGCGGATTCATACACGTCCAAGGACATAGAGCCCACGGCAAACCCGAGAGGCAAGTGTGAATGTGGCCGCAGCCACGCAGGAAACAGGGGGTGTGTGTGAATGTAACGTCCTCGGAGAGGTAAGAGCAAGCACCGTGAACTCTGAGGTAACAGGCTCCACTTCTAAGTAAAGAGCTGCAGACGGGGCTTTTGGAACGAGAGGTACGTCCGTGTGTGTCTTAAAGTGTTCATTACAGGGGTTGAACAAAAGTCAGGAAAGGCACCCAGAAAGAATGACCGGAAGGTGAAGAGAGAGGGAATTAGCGGGAGACAGAAAGAGCAAAAGGAGATTGTAGGGTCGACCCCGGAGGCCCCGCAGGGGTGGAGGAGGAGAGGCGGCCTCCGGGTGATGATGCGGGACCTGTTGCAGAGCGTGACCTCGCAGGATGAAGGGGTCCCGCCACGGTGACCAGGCCGACCCTGTTCTGAGGGAGCCACCGGAGGACATGCTGCCTCACGGCATGGGACACACCACGAAGGCGGAGACGTGGGTCCAGGGCCAGGGTTCCACCCAGAAAGGAGCCGGGAGGATTCTGGGCAGGGCGGAAGAGCCCAGGCCCTGGCGAGACTCAGGACTGGGCCCGAGTGCCTGTGGGAGAGGGGACAGGATGTTTTTTATGCATTTGGGTAGGGGCTGGGGAAGAACCGGGGAGAGTCAGAGCCGTGCCTGAGGACAGGGCAGGTGCGGGAGAAGGTGGCCCCTATTAAACCCCGAAAGGTAAAAGTTGGGGATTTCTGCTTCCAGAAGGTGGGGTGCATGTACGTGCCTCTCCCTGGGCCTCTTTCTTGGCACAGCTACAATCCTGGATGTTGCGCATGCAGCGACCTCGAGCTCCTCTGCAAGGTGGATGCAAGGCAGACCCACAGGGACCTGGGGGCCCCAGGTGAGGCCCCAGCTGAGGCCCCCAACTTCTCTTTGTCCTCATGTATCCCAGGCGTGGAGTCGAAGAGGCCGGCAACCCAGAAGCACAGACAGGTGTGGACAGACCCCAATGAAAGCCACTCCGTCTGGACAAAAGACCAGCAAAGGGGTGCCAGCCAAGGCCGAGCGGCGGCCAGCGCCCACCCCGGAGGAGGCCAGGCCGGGAGCAGGGACTTTCTCCCCTGATGAACCCGGGTGGGACTGGGGTGTCCGTGGGGTCCCAGGGGAGCCAGAATGCCCGCCATGACCCGCGGGACAGAGGAGCCCCCTTGGCGGCAGCCGTGGGACCAGAGAGCGCTTTCCAGCTCTTGCGTCATCAGAGTCCTGGCCGGAGGGGCTTAGAAACTGTTCCAGGGAGTCGTGTCCGAGATGTCACTCATTTGGCAAAAGACAAACGTAGCGATTTAAGAAGCGGAGTGTACCGCAAGCAGGGTGAACCCGGAGCAGTTCACACCGATGCGTCACCGTGAAACTTGTCAAGAGCAGAGCCGGAAGTTCTGGAGAACGGTGAGGAGAGCGCTTCATCCACAGGCAGAAGGGGGTGCCGGCCTCCGTAGGGCCGGCTAGCACTCGCACCAGCTCCCCAGGAGTCCCCCCCCGCCCCATCATGTCCGGAGGGCCGGCATGGCTGGCTTGGATCACTCTGTGACTACTGAGGACACTCAGGCTCTCGTCTGGATCTCCAGGCCCGCCTGCTCTCGCTGGAAGATTCCCTCCCGTGTCCAGGGAATGGACGCCAGGGCTACAGTCTCTCCTGGAAAGAGAAGGGGCGACTTACTCTGAAGGGGCGTGGGGCTGGCTCGGGATCCCAAGAGGGAAGCCATCACATCGACAGGCCGAGGTAGAAATCTCAAGGGGTCCTATCAGTTGATGCAGGAAAAACATCCAGCACCCATTCATGATGAAAAAACTCAGGAAAACAGGATGTGTGTATGAGCCATGATACGCGCCCAAAGTGGGCACCAAAATTAAAAATGAAATTTAGAGTTACTTCAGAAACAGAAAGACAGGTACAAATGGAACCAGACGTGTATGGGATTTCCCGAGCACATAGTAGGGGCGCAGGGAAGCACAGATCTGCATGTGGGGGACTCAACCAGGTCAGTGTGTCACGTATCCCCAGACCCACGTGCCGCTCGATGCAATCCTTATCAAAATCCCAGCGAGTTTCTTGTAGATCCGAAGATGACTCTAAAATGTATATGGAAAGGGAGAAGGAGCAGAATCGCTGGAGAGGAAACGAGAGGAGCCAGGCCGTCTGCTCTCACGCGGTATCGGCAGATGGACCCACACTGACATGCCCCGCTGGATTTCGACGAAGGTGCAGACGCAGCGTTGACAGGGGCAGGACGGTCTCAGCACGGTGCTGGAGCTGCTGGACACCGCAGAGGAAACGTGACCCTCAGCCCACGCTCCACACCCGTATGTGCAAAGATTCACTTGGGATGGACTGGAGCTGGCCGAGACGCTGCGGGCAGGACAGGCGAACCCCTTCCTGGAGTTTGCATCCGTCCTCACCAGGAAAGAGCGTTTCCCTCCGCGGGGCTGACCAGCCACCCGAGCCTGGTTGGCCCCCTCGAGGGACGGCGCCTTTTGGGGACCGCAGAGTGTGCCCCTGGGACGGGCTGTGTGCATTGGCCTGTTGCCAGCTAGGTGAGCCCGGCTTGGCCTCCGCCTTCCATCAGCTGCGCGTAGGCTGAGCTAACGGGGAGGGCCTCGTGCGTCTCTACGGGGGTCCCGCGGCTCTGGGGTAGGACCGTGACTGTGCTTTGCTCCATCCCGGAGGGTGGATGGGAGTGGCTCCTGGCAGCTTTGGAGAGGAATGTGTTTGTCCCGTGAGCTCGCCTTCTCTCACAAAGAGTCTGTCTAGCTCCCTCACGCAGGCCACGGCCACGGCCCACCAGTTCTACAGAGCTAGGCTGGGCATGAGGTGGAGCCCGCCGTCCCCGCGCCACGTGGGTGTTGGAGGGCAGCTCGCATATCTGCTGTGGCCACTGGCAGTGACGCTGTTCCTGCTTCGGAACCGTGGCCGGGGCAGCAGCGGGATGAGTTTCAGGGGCTGCCACGTGGCCTTTCGTACGGCAGTAGGTCCCGCGTTCTGGAGGCTGCTAAGCACGCCTGCTCCTGTTACATGGGGGACGTGGGTCTGGCTGCCGAGGACGCGCCGTGTGTGCATCTGGGCCTGGCCCCTACGCCCCCACCCCGGCAGGACCTCGTGGGCCGTCCAGGTCCCAGGGTGCCGGCACCGTCTCCAGGCCTCCGTCCAGGGGCTCTGGGGGCATCTCTGCAGCGTGTCTGCCCGGGCACTGCAGGTGCCTTCTCCTGGGGCTCCGTCTCTCCTTCAGCCGCGTTTCTGCGGCTGGGACCTGTGTCAGGGATCGATCCTTTATGCCGGAGCCGTGCGCTGGGCGGCGTCCTCGTGTGTGCAGTAGGTGGCTCCCGTGGGCTCCGTGGCCCCCGCAGGCCACACCCCACTGCCCCTCCGCGGCCGCTCCTGCGGCTCCTGCCAACTGCCTGGCGCTGCTCCCCGGGTCCTGTTGTCCACTCGCTCCCAGTTCTGTGAGCGTCTCCTGCCGTCAGCTGCACTTCTCGGAGCTGCTTGTCCTCCAGAGCAGGGTGTCTTCCCGGCCCTCCCAGGGAGCAGGGGGAGCAGCGGCGTGGGGTTTCCCGTCTTACACGGGGGGGCCCACCTCTGAGCCTCTCCAAGCCTTCTCCCACAGTTTGCCACGGAGTGCGTGTGTGTGTGTGTGTGTGTGTGGTCTGTCGCCCAGCAAGTGGGGCTGGGCCACTTGGGCGGGCCTGGCGTGTTGAGAAGTCGTGCACCCGCCCTGGTGTCCCCGACCCCGTGTGCAAATCCTGCCCTTCCTTCCGTCAGGCCCCGCTTTGCTGCGGGGATCTTGCTGACCGAGGCCAGTGGTGGGTGGACGTTGTCGGGGGGCCACCTTGGGGTCAGTATAAAAACGGACTTCTGTTGTGTCCCGTCAGCAGTGGTTTTTGGAAGCACTTCCTGTGTCTGGAGCTGGAGCGTGAGCTCGCCAGCAGGCCTCCGCGCCGGCTGTGGTCCCGTAAGGCGGTGGGAGGGCAGTGGGGTGGGTGGTGCCTGAGACGGTCTGGCTGTGTCATCTCCCACCTCGCCGATGCTGGGGCCGTCGGCACAGATGTGACTGCTAGTCACGCGTCCCCTCGGGGCCTCCCACGCTTTGTCACGTTCTCCCCCTGTAGCCGTGCCCTTGATGTGCTGGGATCCGTTGC